CTATCACCCCTATGAGATCCCCTCCAGGGACACCGAGCCCCCCTCAGAGGCCTCAGGGCTAGGCTGCATCTCGGACTGGGCCCGATCCCCCCCAGGTACTCACAGCGTCTGCCGATTTGTGGGCTGATTGGTCCGGGCTCCCCTGTGTCCCCAGAGACATGGCAGGCGATTCCAGAGGGGAACTATCGTGCACTCGGACCTCCGTCTCCACAGCAGGGGATGACGCCGGGGAGGCCGCGGTCCGCACGCTGTTACGATGCGCCATCTTGGATACAGCGCTCGGAGCGGCCGGCCGGTCAAATAATCCCTGGATCGAGGCAGACGTCTTTTTTTTCTTCCCCTTCTGGCCAGAGGTCTTGTGAGACGATCTAGGGGGTCTGTCCTTCCCCATGTCAGGTAAGTTGGCGCATTGTTTAGCAAGGTGAATGGCGGGTGGGACACGGAGCTCTCTAGGGATGCGTCCTCTCACGTAGCCAGTCAGCCACGCCCCTGCTGGCTGTTTTTAAACGGCTGTGGTAGCCATGATATTGGTAAAACTACAGGATGCTGTTTATCTATGTTAGGCATAGGCTGTTTATCTATGTTCCTGAAGCAGTTAAACATCAGCCTAAGGAAATTATTTTCCCAAATGCTGGGATACTGCCAAATACTGATGTTCAGTGTGAGCTGCAACATGGACATCTTAGAGTATGCTTTCTGGAGTGGTGCACTTTGGGGTGTCTCTTTATTGGGGTGCTCCACTGTAAACTATTTGGGGTGTCATTGCTTGTGGGGCTTCACATATAGGGCACTAGTAGCTGATGGTCTTCCTTTTTTCTCAATGCTTCTGAGATAATGGTTTGACCTGTAACATGGATATCTCAGATTTCCTATTAGTTTTGTTTTCTGTAGTGCTGCTTTATGGGATGTCTATGCAGGGCTAGCACTACCGTAAGGCTTCATAGGCAGCCACCTGAGGGTGTGAAGGGAGGGCGGGGGGGGGGGGGGGGGGGGGCAGAAAATGCACCTTCGCCTGCGCAGGAAAAAATCCTTGCACCAGCCCTGATTAGGGGATTTGCTTGTGGTGCAATGAACCTGCCCATAAGTTCATTATATTGGTGAACTAAGTTCGCCGTTAACGCAACAAACAATGAATACTGCTTTTGCATTTCACCTGGTGGTTGGACCCAGTGCTAAACTAAGGTCTCGTTCACACCTAGGCGCATTGCATATGCGCGTCTGTCGCGTTTTTTTTACCGCGATTCGCTGTAAAAAAGTTGTGGAGTTTCTCTCCACAAGATGGATCTGATTAATCCATCTTGTGGAGTTTCATTCTCAGACAAGAACATAACTATAATCATAGTGCTCTCCGTCTCTTAAAATTACTTTATTAAAACAAAGCAAAGAGGAACTACTGCGGTAATAACTGTGTTATTAATAATTGGTAGTATTAATTTGCTGGGGAATTTGCTGAAGTTATTTTTAGTTATATCTGGTTCTGAAATAAATTAAAAAAAATATATAAAACTAAATAAATAAATAAAATGTCTTTCATGAGTGGGAATGCAACCCGGTGCACATCTTGCTCAATGTATGCGTTTCTTGAACATGCGTTCAAGGGCGAATACTGTTGCGCCAGATGTGAGCTAGTTTGTTTGGAAGCCCAGATTCTGGATCTTCACAATAAACTGGCAACACTGTGGAGCATAAACAACATGGAAAGGAGTCTGGATCTGACTCATCAGGTTCTGGTGGAAGGCAGTATAGAAGAGGAGGGGTGTATACCAAGGTGGGTAGCTGGGTTACCATTAGAAGGCGAGGTAGAGGGAAGAGTGCAAGAGAGGCTAGCTATGAATTGATACACCCCAACAAATATGCCAGGTTGCAGGATGTTGGGGATATTAGTGCAGGGGTGGCATTGCTGAAGCAGGAAGCTTCCCCTTTCCTCAGGGGCAGTGACTGCTCCAGTAAGGATGGGAGCAGGATGGATGGACGGACAAGAGAGACAGCTATTGGTGATGGGGGACTCAATTATCAGACAGATAGACAGGGTATTCTGTCACTGGGACCGTGACCATCAAACAGTCTGTTGCTTACCAGGGGCTCGTGTTCGACACATTGCGGAACGGGTGGACAGGTTAGTAGATGGGGCTGGGCATCACCCAGCTGTCATGGTACACATTGGTACCAATGACAAAGTTAAAGGCAGATGGAGTGTCCTAAAAAAAGATTTCAAACACCTAGGTACTAGGTTGAAGAAAAGGACCTCCACGGTATTATTTTCTGAGATAATGCCGGTGCCACAAGCCACTCCAGAAATACAGCGGGAGTTGAGAGAACTGAACAAGTGGCTGCGGAACTGGTGTGGGAAAGAGGGCTTTGGGTTCATGGAGAACTGGGCTGACTTCTCAGTCGGTCACCAGCTCTACAGCAGAGATGGGCTGCATCTAAATGGGGAAGGTGCCGCACTTTTGGGGGAGAAAATAGTTAAAAGACTGGAGGAGCTTTTAAACTTGATCATGGGGGGAGGGAATAAAAATGAGTATAATAAACAGAGAGCAAGTAACTACAGGAGCAATTAACCACTTGCCGTCCGCCCGTTGTAAAAAAACGGACGACGGCACTGCAGCATGGCGGGTTGCCGTCTCCAGACGGCATTTTTTTTCTGCTCGCGAGACTGTAATACAAACGGGGACAGAGGGTTCACTCCAGTCAATCAAATTAGTAATGTATCAACCGTACCAAGGTCTGATAAAGAAAGTAGTTGGGCCTCAAGAATAAGCAATAATAAAACTCAAACCACTAGCACCAAACTAAAATGTATGTACCCGAATGCTAGAAGTCTAGCAAACAAATTAGAGAAGCTTGAAATTATGCTACTCGAAGAGGACTTCGATATAGTGGGAATAACAGAAGCATGGCTGGATAGCTCACGTGACAGTAGGCAACCACCACAATGGTGTGCACTGGTAGTTATGGATTGGGGTAGGAGGGATTATACACAGGTAAGTGTGGGCTGGAAATAAAGGTAGCAATCTACACATCAACAGTACCCATGTAAGGTAGGGTTAGACAAGGGTAGCAGTATGCACATCAATAATTTCCACCTTGTGATAAAGGTCAGATAAAGGTAGCAGTATGCACTTCAATAGTCCCTTTATAATAGAGGTTTGGATAAAGGTAGCAGTATGCATTTCAATAGTCCCTTTGTAATAGAGGTTTGGATAAAGGTAGCAGTATGCACACCAATAGTCACCACTATGTAATAGAGGTTTGATAAAGGTAGCAGTATACACATTCAATAGCTTCTGCTTTGTGATAGAAGATTGTAGGACTGTAGCTGACTACACAGGTACTTGCGGTTTTGAGGACAAGCTGTCCCTTCCGGCTATTCCCCCTGGCCTGTGTGGTGATCCGAGTCAGAGGCTCTTAAGAATCCTGGCAGCAGCAGGAAACCTTGCAGATCAGTCCGACCGAGCCCTGAGGTCTGTAGAGCTGGCAGGAATTGCTCAGCGTCCACCAACATCATCAGTAGGACGCTAGGCAATCAGTGAGCCGTGGCTTTAAGCTCACGGCGCGTGCCCGAGGGGGTGGAGCCTAACGGCACAGTGGCACCAGACGTCTGCAGACTCCCTCTCTGGAATGCACAGAGGTGAGTCTATTGCAGTAATTTATCTGGCTGCTATTTACATTCACTTTTCATGCATTTTTGCTTGCAAATTTGTCAATTGTAGAATCAACCAATTACACTGCAAACACATTGGGGGGAATTTATAAAAGCAATTGCGATAGTTTTAGCCTCTTAGATAATTTTTTTTATGTGGAAATCTGTCTTTAAACATGTGCCCCTGTTTTGACCTGAGCTTGCACTACTTTTCCAACTACACGTGTTTTATAGTTTTAGTCTTAGGTAGTCCCCATATTAATCCCTTATCACTGGCTTTCCACAGGCTCCTTAAGGGATCTAAATGTAGGAGGCATTTCATGGTCTTCCCTATCATGTGATCACTGTGGTTTGCTGATGATTGGGAGCCCTAATACTGGCTCCCAATCATCAGTGTGCCCAGGAGCTGCCGGTGACATCCTGGTCACAATGCTGGGGGCAAGAGACTGAGCGAGCTCCAAGCACAAAACAGTGCTGCATAACATCCCTAATGTTATTCTTCATAAGGACAAGGTGGTTTTGAGGCGAAGACTCTCCGGGTCCTGATCTAACCAAAGGTGATTTTGCTGCAAACACTGGATGTGGTTAGAACCTTTAATATTTCAGTACAAGCCACTTTGTTTTTAAAACAGACAAATTCTCTGCTATCAGGTACTCTCTGCTTTTGCTCTACCATTTCTATATAGATACGAAAGCTCATATCTCAGGCTTATGCATTCCCTTCCAGTCAGTACTCATTCAATTATTGCAGAGTAAATGCTGGTTTTGGCCATTAGCTATATGGCAGGTGGCAGTGTAAATCACCCTGTTGGGGAGAGGGCTCACCTTCTTGTTCTTTGTGTTGGTTATTGCTTGTGGGTGTTCCAATGGATTTGACTGATGTCAAACATCCCTCAATGAATAACAAAGAAAATGGAATTTTGTATTTGCCATAAAATTATTTACTGATGGTCATGGCTCCTACACCTCTTTTGCTGGTGGACCTGCTGCCAATGTATTGTGGTATAGCCTTGTACTGCTTGCTATTAACTGACTCTCTCTCTGGCAGTTGTGAGATTAGGTCACCAAATGGAGCCACCATCTTAGTTGCCACTTACTTTCACCTAGTGCCCTACTTCTGCATGTGGCTGGTTCTGATTCATCTATTATTCATTAGCTGTGTCCCTTAATAAACTCAAAGAGTACAATTTTTACGTTGAGTACAAACATTTTTCAGAGGGAGAGCGCAGCAACGGCAGACTCTATATTTTATCAGTACAGGTTTCCTTTATCGTGTTCCTGCAATCTGTGTAGCAGTTTGCATTATTTACTTAGTGAAAAAATGAGTGTGATACACCTGATATAAATAATATTTTACCTTGTGGAGTCTCGACTTCCTAGTGTGGAAAATCTCACAGGGGTTCGAATATCAAATTGGTTGCATCGTTGAACTGCCATGAGGTTATTCAAAGCAATGACAATGTAAAGTATTAAACAAATAAAACAGAGATGTCAGATGCACGATGGAGGAAGCAATAAAAGAAAGAAAAAAAAGTAATGGAAGAAGATAGAAAAAATTAAATTAAATATTAGCAACATAGGTTTATTTTAAGAATTTAGGTCTAATGTTCCAGAATAACCACCCCTTACACACACACACGCGCACCATCAGAGGTCTTACACTGCCTATCCAAAATGAAAAGTCACCACCTGGATTCAAATAGGTCAGAGCCTTCCATTCAGCAAAAAATGAGGTCAACTGCCTACCTGAATATACTGAATAACCAGGTTTTTCCCATCAATGGATTTTTTTTGTTCCCTGGTGGCACAGGTATATTCTAAGATGACAATGCCAGGATCAAGCTCAAATTACGAAAGAGTGGTTCAGGGAGCATGATACATAATTTTCACACATTGATTGGCCACGACAGAGTCCAGACCTTAACCCCATTGAGAATCTTTGGGATGTGCTGAAGAAGACTCTGGATAGAAATAAATGTTGTGACATAGAATAAGCTTATCGAAACGCATGCCAAAATCAATGCTAAAGGTGGTCGAACGAAATATCAGAGTGTGTGACTTTTTTTTGTCCAGGCAGTGTATGAGCAAATTGTAAAATAGATAAACATCCAAATGCTAAACTCTGATATCCCCTGAACTTCATTTCTTGAAAACCTAATTCTAAGACTACAAATATTGCTAAGTTTTGACAATGAATTAAATGTATATACACTACATCAAAGAATTGTGCGAATATTTTATTTAAAATCAACTAGATTGCACAAGAACATCAGCATCAAGTAACATATGCAATAAAAGCTGGCCATACACAGTTCTATAGATAGAACAGGTTTCTCCATCAAAGCTATACAAAAATTGATAAAAGAATCCTAGCTGTTTCTTTTGTATTCTGACAGCAGCCGCCATCAAAATACCTGAACATTGCCGGAAGCTCATTGGCTGCCCTCTGTTCATTCAAAGATTTTTTTGACCAGCTCCTTCGATAATATGTATTATATTATACATAGCATAATATATGGCCAGCTTTAAGCTACATATAAAACATACATAGAAAGCTTATGAAGAAAGAAATGCAACTTATTTTGCTAGAATCAAGCCTCTCCTGGTCTCTTCTTGTGGCACTTACATGCATTCTGAGTATAAGGCTGCATACTAACCCCTGCTCTTTCATTCACCCCTTATAACTCATTGTCCACAGGCTAAACGGGAACTTTATCATCAATTCAGGCTTCTACATTCATCCTTTTCTTTAATTTCCCAGATAAACCTGCTCCATGTACAACAGTAATATGCATTAAGGCAGGCGCTGACTGGCAACTTTTAGCCCAGAGGGCAAGTACAACCCAGAGGCCCATGGTGCAGCAAATTGGTCCCCCTCCCGCTCTCCCTCTTCCCCGCCTTCACCCCACCCCTGTCTGCCACTTTTGCCATCCATGTAACAGTAGTGTGAATGTATCCATCGGTTTAGGAAATTTAAAGCACACTGGTAGTGGAGGGATGCCTTGTCAGGGCTGTGCGCATGCATGACTGCTGTGACCCTGGTAGTTCTGCCACTAACTCAGGAATACATTTACAGCATTGCAGAATGGCATTGGCTATAGAGAACTACAATTCCAAGCAATACATTACACAACAATGCAGAATACCATCAGCTATAGAGGACTATAAATCCCAGCAATAATGACTACCAACAGCTATAGAGAACTGCAATTCCCAGCAATACCATTATACAGCAATGCAGAACAGCATCAGCTATAGAGGACTACAAATCCCAGCAATAGTACATTATAGCTGGTGGAATTCTGCATTGCGCTGTATAATGCATTATTGCTGGGTTTTGTAGTCCTCTATACAGCGCAATGCAGAATACCACCAGCTATATAGGGATAGAACAAATCCCAGCAATACATTATGCATTGAGTGTATAATGTATTGTTGGGATTTGTAGTCCTCTATAGCTGATGGTATATTGCTCCGTGTAATATAGTAATATAAGTACAGCGCAATGTACCATCAGCTAGAGGACTACAAATCCCACTATCCCAGGAATACATTATAGAGCACCATGTGTGTGTGTGTGTGGGGGGGGGGAGAGTGCAGGCTTACCTGAGCAGTCTTCCAGCAACTTGCTTCTGAGATCGGGACTGTCTATCGGCGGCTGTCAGTCCCTCACACCTGCTCCTCCTTACTTCTTCTCTCCACGTCCCTGTGTCGATTGTGAATGTGAGGATGCGCGTGAGGCGAGGTGTGACGTGTGGAGCGTGGATGCCGGTGGGCAGGTCTGGCAGCAGCAAGCATGAGGCGGGCAGGAGGTGCGGCGTATGGATGCGGGCTGGCGGGTCTGGCAGCAGCAAGGGTGAGGCGGGGAGGATGTGCGACATGTGGAGCGTGGATGCCGGTGGGCAGGTCTGGCAGCAGCAAGCATGAGGCGGGCAGGAGGTGCGGCGTATGGATGCGGGCTGGCGGGTCTGGCAGCAGCAAGCGTGAGGCGGGGGGGAGGTGCGACATGTGGAGCGTGGATGCCGGTGGGCAGGTCTGGCAGCAGCAAGCATGAGGCGGGCAGGAGGTGCGGCGTATGGATGCGGGCTGGCGGGTCTGGCAGCAGCAAGCGTGAGGCGGGGGGGAGGTGCGACATGTGGAGCGTGGATGCCGGTGGGCAGGTCTGGCAGCAGCAAGCATGAGGCGGGCAGGAGGTGCGGCGTATGGATGCGGGCTGGCGGGTCTGGCAGCAGCAAGCGTGAGGCGGGGGGGAGGTGCGACATGTGGAGCGTGGATGCCGGTGGGCAGGTCTGGCAGCAGCAAGCATGAGGCGGGCAGGAGGTGCGGCGTATGGATGCGGGCTGGCGGGTCTGGCAGCAGCAAGCGTGAGGCGGGGGGGAGGTGCGACATGTGGAGCGTGGATGCCGGTGGGCAGGTCTGGCAGCAGCAAGCATGAGGCGGGCAGGAGGTGCGGCGTATGGATGCGGGCTGGCGGGTCTGGCAGCAGCAAGCGTGAGGCGGGGGGGAGGTGCGACATGTGGAGCGTGGATGCCGGTGGGCAGGTCTGGCAGCAGCAAGCATGAGGCGGGCAGGAGGTGCGGCGTATGGATGCGGGCTGGCGGGTCTGGCAGCAGCAAGCGTGAGGCGGGGGGGAGGTGCGACATGTGGAGCGTGGATGCCGGTGGGCAGGTCTGGCAGCAGCAAGCATGAGGCGGGCAGGAGGTGCGGCGTATGGATGCGGGCTGGCGGGTCTGGCAGCAGCAAGCGTGAGGCGGGGGGGAGGTGCGACATGTGGAGCGTGGATGCCGGTGGGCAGGTCTGGCAGCAGCAAGCATGAGGCGGGGAGGAGGTGTTGCACGCGCTGTGTGTGAAGCCTTGAACAGGGCCAACTAATCGAAAGCTGATTAATCGATGATTGAAAATGTTGACAACTTTTTCAATCATCGATTTAGTCGATTAGATGTTGCAGCCCTACATTCATCCCAGATTTCTGGGGACAGTCCCCGGATTGAGGAGACCGTCCCTTGACAAATTATGTCCCTGGGAACATAAAATAAACCAATGTTTTTCTTTGTAATACTCACCTGATCCCTGGATCCACCGACAAGCACAGCCTCCCGTCTCCCACGCTGTGGTTACTACTTAAACCAGCGACCATCGCAGAGGCCCGGGGGCAATTGCCATCCTGCCCCCCGGCCCAGTCCGCCCCTGCATTAAGGTATCCACTTCCCATCATTCTTTCTCAGCATCTGGGGTATGCCAGCAATACAACCTTGCAATGTTGTGGAGACATTTGATTTTAGTCTTCCTGCATCAGGACATGCCTCCATGACATAGTCCGGGAACTAAGTCACATGACATAATACAGTTGAACTATGGCCTTCTATTTGAAAATATTTTCTGCAGCATTTAATTGTTAGTGCAGATGCACTATTTCAAATGCTGATTAAATCACTTATAATGGATGCTGATCCTTGATATTGAAAAGTTTTAGCTTCCTGCAGAATCAGCTGGTCCCAGAGCATTGGCACCGATATCCTGTTTTAGGGTGGCTCCTTTCCCTTGCAGGATCCTATGGAGCCACCCCTGTGTGTGTGCTAGTAAGCTGTGCGTGTTTCCACAAAAACAAGGGCACTGCAGGACAAGCCTCTCCCCTGCTCCCCTTCCTCTCCCTTCTCCAAGCTAATAGATGGATAGCTTCTGGAGACCATACTTTCCCTTTGTAATCTGGTACTGATTTGGTACTGGGCAGGAAGTTCAGGGAAGCTGAGCTGTGAGAGTTGGAGTCAGCTGTTTGGAAACATGCTGACTGTAAGTGCTTAGGCAAAAATGTAAAGAAACACTTTGCTGGGCAATGTGTATTTTTTTTATCTGGATTCATTATTGGAAAAAAAGATTCAGCGTTTAATACTACTTTAATCTCTCTGCAAAGTCTCAAATATCTGTTGATCCTGGTTGTAAAGTCTACCTCATCAGTTTTCTGTGATGGGGACATTGCTGCGGCACTGCCACTAAATTCAGAGCAGCATTGTTTTGCTTGCAGTACAGTTGGATTAGAAATTGGGGACATTTGATTTTACAAGTTCTGGTCCCATAGACTTTCAATGAGTTCTAAGTTCGAGTGAGAACTTTTTCCATGTTCTAATGTTCGAGTGTGTACAGCCCATCACTAGTAACTATGTATTTCTTTGCTGAAATGTATCAGACTTCTGATCATCTGAGAACGATCAGAAGCCTAGTGAGATCTAATCCTGTCATGCTGTCATGATCAGTCACTCGGGTTATTATTGGCTGTTCCTACGTTTGGAGCAGCCATAACCAAAAATTAGAAAAAAAAAATTAAATTAGTGAGCAGTCACAGTGAATGCTGGATACAATAGACAAAAAAAAATTGTAAAGTGTAAAAAAAATTAAAGCAGTGTAAAAAGACAAATTAATAAATGTAAAAATATAAATATATTTTAATACTATAATTATTATAAAAAAATTACCCCTTACAATGAAAATATGCAGCTGAGCTGCAGATTTGTCTTTCACCCTAAGGCTGGGTTCCCGCCTAGGCGTACGGAATATGCGTGTTTGCGGCGCGTTTCGTGCCGCACGTTTTTACAGCGATTTGCGGTAAAAGAAACGCGCAACAAACGCACGTTTCCGAGGGCTATCGGGCTGTATCCCAATGGATACGCGCGGCAAATACGCTCCCCAAAGAAGCTCCTGTACTTCTATGGGCGTAGGGCGTTTTGCAGCGCGTTCCTCTGCGCTGTAAAATGCCCAGGTGGGAACCATGCCCACAGGCAATCATTGGTTTTCACATGTTGAGCCCAGGTGTGAACCAGGTCTAAGGGGTTAATTTTTTATGGATGCTTCTTGGATGTAACTGGGCGTGTATACACGTCCTGTTACATCCACCTGCTTGGGTGCGATCGGGAAATGCCGGTTATTTTAAAACAGGCAGCGATGCCCGTTACTATACAAGCGATCCGCCGGCTATAGAGCCGGCGGATCGCTTGTATGATGTGCCATGATTGCTTTCTACTGTTTTACTGTTCAAAGCCCATTTCGTGTGCACCATATTCTATAGCTGGTGACAAATTGTTGAGTGCGTTTGTCATTTGTTTTGCTTAGTCAAAGTACCGCAGCGCTGAACACTGAAAAATGGCCTGGCCAGGAAGGGGGTCTAAACACCTGGTCTTCAAGCGGTTAAATTTAACCCCCTCATGATGGCGTTGTTAGGGTTAGTTCACACCAGAAACTGCATCACAACTGCATCACACTGCGATGCGTTTTGATGCATTTGCAATGCGTTTGCAATGTGTTTGATGCATTTTTTTAACTGCACAAAAAAATGCTAATTAGGCATGTAGGTCACTTGCTTTTCCTGTCAGAGCATTTCCTATGTCTAACCATGTCTAACCATGTCTAACCTAATCTAACCATTATTAGTTTTTAGAGGAAAAAAAATTAAAATGTTAGCTTCTAGTTTTAGGCTGAAACGTACAGAAACGTTTCTGAAATCCTAGATATACGAGGTGTTTCCAAATAAAGGACAAGTAAATTAATTCATTTTAATATTTTTTTTTAGCTGTGCTATTTAAAAAAGAAAAGAAATCTAAACAGGAGGAGGGGGAGAAGTGTTTTCTTTATGTTTTTTCCTTTTTTTTTATATATGTTATTCATACTAAGTGAGGCGTTAGGCACACAAAGGTGATATAAATATATAGCCCTATCTGTCCTCTAAAAAACAATATTTAATATGCGTGGGTGCACTTGGAGGAAACCTCTATGGATGAGCACCATTGACTGGGTTCTTTGCTGATACTGTATGGGATGTCCTAAGTTCTTTGTAAGCACTGATAGACTGTTCTGTATTTGTCGCCAACCTTTATTAAACACATGTACAAACATCAATAGAAATATGCTCCATGCTGATCAGTATAGTACATAATTCTTACCCTGTTTATTGCTGCTAGCAGGTTCCAAGTTAACTATCTTTCCAAACCGACAATCCAGTTCTTCCTCCTCAAGATCATCTTCCTCCCCTTCACTTAATGGGATCTACAAACAAAATGTATTACGTTATAGGACTAAGGTGAACAATACAATGGTAAAGAATAGGCATCCACAGGTCATACTTACTCCTTCAGTAACTGAGCCATGTATTTGATTCTGTCTCAACCAGGCAGTTTTGTATTGGTCTAATTTCTGTCCTTTGTATCGGACAGAAGCCCATCCACAGCCAGACTTCTTAGCAGGATTAACTAATCGCTTGCAATGTGTGGCCCATGCACTGGGAGAATTAAATGCCTGCCCACTCTCTTGCCATATAATTTTTCCATCTGCTAAGAGGTCGCCAAGGAACTTCCTTCCCTGGAGGAAAATAAAATCATGAAATGATCATTACTTGTGTGTATGATGCTATTTATAATGGATCAGTTCATACAGACATATGAAATTCAAATCCGTTCAAGAAAAAAAAGTTAAACACTGTTCTTGTAACTTATTACTAATATTCCTGAATATTACGTATGAATAATCATGAGTATGAATACACCAATTAATAATAATAATAATAATAATAATTATATTAATATTAATACATATAATAACTATATTCAGGTATGCACACCTTTCTGGGATTTCACAACTTGAAGTAGATTTCCAGACAAAATAATTCTAATTATATACCTACATATATATCCTAGCTTACTATTATAGCTACAAACATCTATGTGACTATAGAAAAAAAATGGCTGTTTATTTGCTCCATTATTCACCTCTTTCCTAGCCTGCTGATTTGAATATAAAGGAGTACCAACAGTGGCGCGTTGATGAGAAGTGTGCTCTCCTGTAAGTACGTTCAGTGTTAGACTGACGAGCATTGTGCCAGCCAATAGAGCCTCGAGTGGCTCAGATGCTTAATCCTACCTCTTTCAGTGTAAGTTCTACTGCACAGGGGATTATTGTAGGTTTAAATCAATAAAGATTCAGTAACAACTACAATTGTTTGTAAAAATACATGTAATGATTTAGTTGCTTAAATTTCATGTTTTAAACATTTTCCTGCAGCTTAAACGATTAGATTTCCCATTAGTTTTGTTCAGTTTTAGAAGTAATACCAAACATTTAGGGCCTGTGAACTATGCATAGTCTCAAAAATGGTACTACAGTGTTAATGTGGTCATTTACAGTGGAAGAGTCCGCTTTGGGAGAAAAAGGAACACGATCGCGGCTTAAACAGCCGCAGGTCGTGTATCGCAAGAGTTGCAACAACTATTCATGTATAGAGCTGCAACAATTATACATGTATAGAGCTGCAACAACTATTCAATGAAATCGATTAAAATCGAATAGTTGCCGCTGTACTCCTCCCCGCTGGTGCTGGCTGCAGCGGTCTGTGTCCATTCAAATCCCCGCTGCTCTCCGCGCCTGTGTCGGCAGAGGCAGCGGGGACACAGACCTCTGCAGCTGGCACCAACGTGGAGGAAAAGCGCTGTGAATAAATTCCCCCGCTTCCCCCCTTACTTCCGCTACTGCTCACCCGGTCCGTGCTGCTGCTACGATCCTCCCGGTCCGGGCCGATGAGTTTTAAAAAAATTAAATTTAAATTTTTTTTTTAAAGTTAAATAAATAAAAATTTAAAATGCACACAAATAAAAAAAGTTTAAGAAACTAAAATTAAAAATAGAAAAAACATTTTTTTGGTGTGTCATTTTAACCACTTGCTGTCCGGATCCAGAGCGCCTCCAGGTGGCGCTGGAGCTAAGCCCTGCAGTTCCTGTCACCTGCAGGTGTCTCCAGGCAGCCAGGAACTGTTAGGTACCAGACCACCACTGGGTGGTGCTGGAACCTGCAGCTCTAGTGCTCACCTGCGGGTGTCTCCAAGCTGCCAGCACTTAGCCATCACCTGGTGCTTCCTGGGAGGGTATTTAAACCCTCCCTGCAGTCAGGACGATGGCTCAGTATCTGTTATTATTTCCTGTGTATCCTGAGCCCTATTACCCGTTTATAGTCCTGAGCCCTATTACCTGTCTGTAGTCCTGAGCCCTGTTACCTGTTTGCAGTCCTGAGCCCTGTTACTTGTTTGCAGTCCTGATTCCTGCTTGTAGTCTTGTTGACATTAACCGCTTGCAGTCCTGTTGCTGTTACCTGTATATAGCTATTATTGCTCTTGTTTTATGTTATAGGTGTCGGGGTTATATTTGGTTGGGGTCACATTACTTATTCGTGCTTACTTTGGGTGTTTCACTTGGTTTTGCTGGATACAAATAAACTGTATATAACACATCTTGCCTTGTCCGGTGTGGTCATACGTGTTTGGTCTTCCTGTGTGGGTACTTGCATATGGTGTAGGCACACCTGTGCCGGCATTTTCTTACTATTTGCGCACACATGATGAAATATAGATTTCTGCGCAAATGTTTATCAAACCCGTATTTTTAGAAAAAAATAAACTAAATTAAAATTTAGTGCACAGAGACAGAATATAATACCCAATTTTTTTGGTAAAATATGAAAGACGGGGGTCACACCAGGTAAATAGATACCAAACAAAAAAGTAAATACCCAAAATTTCCCATAGGGAACATTTGAACCGCTTTTACCGCTCATCAGTTTAATGCTAACTGTCAGGACAGGAGGCTATGAGTTATTGTAGATATGTTGTTTATCAGTGTGATTGGGGGTAGTAGGCACATGACTTAACCTTCAAGCAGAGGTGACAAGAGGAAGTAATCACAAGGGTTAATTCCTTCAGTGAGAGATGGCTCAAATGCTGTAAAGTGTAAATGAGATTTACCTAACACAATTAGCATCTTAGTGTTGAGTAGGGATTCCTTTTGGCATGGACCATTCTTTCACACCTCTTCTGGACATGGAGGCACCAAGAATGTAACCTTCTAAGGGCCCTCTCACAAACAAAAGAAGCACAAACCCAGCCTCCTTCTATTAAAAGCTCAGATATAAAAGATTAAATATGGATCCAGGGATTAATATCAGGGGGTCCTAGTATATATATTACAGGTACCCTCATTATTGCCTGTAGAATGATACCAGACAAGGCTGGGGTATCTTCACTCATTTAAGAGATAGACGAAAGCTGGTTTTGGAGGGTCTCAGCCTACCCATGTTTGATGTCTATGGAAAGAGGCAGTTGTGCTGGGTATGGATCTAGAGATAGCATATCTGTGTCAGACTCCTATCCAGAAATATTGCCCTTTTTGTCATATATAGGTTCTGTCTGGGGAAAAACTCCCCTACCAGGTGTGAAATAGGTGGGGGCTTCAGGTCCTTGTCTCTTAGCCACACCTGTTTCCCCACCCTGTTCATCCCAGAGGCTGGACTGCAACCTGAGCTGGGACCCACAGGTATAAAAAATATTGCAAGGGTAACCAAAGTGTGCTTACTTGGGGCCTAAATCTAATTTTGTAGTAAGTTGCCATTTTCCTTGCCGGCAGCCCCCTGGGATAGAATCGAGTGCTTCTGTAAGTAGGATTTCTATCAGTTTTCTCCTTTTTATTTTTGATCTGTTTCTTGTGTGTAACTGTCTTGTATAACATCTAATTTTAAATATATGCACTGTGAATACTTTTTCTTCATAATAAATCATTCATTTATTAAGTTCCTGCCTTTGTCTGGTATAAGAACCATATATGTTCCTGAGGAGGTTCTTTTAATAGTTCAGTACCTTATACACGTTCGGCTAAATTTAAGTTTGGGATCTTTGTAAGTTATTCTGGGTATTATATCCTAAATTTGGAATTGGTTTGGTTTGGTGGCAGCAATCTGTAGATTACACGGAGTGGGTGGTGTGTAAGTGGGACTTTTTATCATTATTTCCCAGTCTAGTGAAGACAAATAGTGATTGTTCAACCCTCTTACCACTGCAATACGTCACGTGGCCGCTTGGAGTAGCGCCCGTTCGTGACAATTGGTGGCATAGCGGTGGGATTTTTCTTATCAGATTTTAGTGTGCTGGATTTGCTAGTGTGTGAATTCCAGACACTAAAAGAAATTGTGTTCTCAATTTCCAAAGGCGGAACTCAGTGCATATAATATAGTTACACCTCAAACAGATCTCCCTTCCCCCCTTTTGTTTTCTTTTCTATCTTTTTTTTGGCTGGTTTACAAATGGAATACCCAACACAGTCTAAGGGTGCCCTGGAACAGCTTTGCCGGGAGAAATGTATTCCTGTTCGGGGAAAAACAAAAGATGAACTGATTCAAGCGCTTGTGGATTATGATACGCAACAGACAGCACAGTATAGAGCCTTGGATACAGCCGAAGGAGGACCTACCACAGAGGAGATTCCAGCAGATAGGGTCAGTGAGTCAGCACCCTCTGGAGATACCCTGGACTCTTATTTGCAAACTGTTCTAAAATATGTGGACTCAGCAGATCACAACGTACGGCTGGAGCTAGTCATGAAATATCATGAAACAGAGGCTGCGGAACGAGAGGCCAAAAGAGAGCACCAGCTAGCTCTAGCAAGGTTGGAGAGATCAACTACCTCCCCTGTGAGCGCTGACTCTAGAGACTCTTCTGCACACAGACCCCGGGTAGAGAATTTTCCTACTTTGGATAAAGACGGGGACCTGGATGTGTTTCTACGCAGCTTTGAAAAGACTTGCAGGCAGTACCAGTTGCCAAAAGATCAGTGGGCCAAATATCTCACCCCTGGACTGAAAGGGCCAGCGTTACAGGCTTTTTCAGAACTGCCAGTGGACCGTGATCAGGACTATGAGACCATCAAAGCCGCACTGCAGCGGAGGTACAACCTTACGCCTGAGGTGTACCGAAAAAAGTTTCGGGCTTTTCAGAAGAATGCCAGAGAGAGCTATGCAGCAGTTGTGGGCCACCTGACCACAGCGTTCAGACAGTGGACCGGAGGGCTGGAGATTACTACTATGGAAAGCCTGGAGGACCTGATGATTAAAGAACAGTTTGTGCAACTCTGCCCAGCGGATGTACAAGAATGGCTGCTGGACCGTAAGCCAAAAACAGCACTGGAAGCGGGGGAGTTAGCAGATTTCTACACGGCAAATAGAGCATCTGTGGACCGGAGCAGAGGATTCCCCAAAGGAGCATCTGGATGGAGGGGCCCGGCACCGCGGCCCCCCATCAGCAAATCTACCATACCCTCCTCTGTGCCTCCATCCTCAGGAAGAAGGGAGGCCGGAGCCACTTTCAGGCACACGGATTACCGCAGGTGTTTTGTCTGCAACAAAACAGAGCACATTAGTTCTGCGTGCCCAGAGAAAAAATGCCCTACACCATCCACAGGAGCGGGGCGCCCCTCAGCATCACAATCCTCTGTTTTGTTTGTCACTCAGTCGGAGGATAGCGCCAATGTGAACATGCAACCTGTTAC